ATCAGAGCAACATTTGAGAAATCGTATCGTAGCTGCAGCGAACAGAATATCGCAAGAACAGTGCCTGGCTGCTACAAGAGCCGTGTTTGACAGATGCAATGCTTGTATTGCTGCAAGAGGTGCACATTTCGAACAAAATCTTCATTAAAAAGTTTATAAATAAAATAATTAAAATAATAAATTAAATATATTTTTTTCTTTTTTCGTGATTTCCTGCGAAACAAAGCAAAAAGGAGCATATGTCTATAGGACTTTTTTTCTTAGTTTTTTACTCCTCTACACGCTCCCGAAGTTTTGCCATTTAATTTGGAAACACCCTGTATATATAATATCTCCTAAGTACAAAATCGTTGTTAGATGTTTAATAGAGAAAATTCCTCATAACTGCAAATACTGCAATCTATAAATAATTGTATTTTGGATACGTTATTCTTCTAAATTATTTGAAAAAGTATTGATAATTGATACGATACGCATCTTATACGTAAGTTGCTCTTCTTCACATTTAATATAGAGAATGGTATTCCCTGTATTGTATTAACTTATTTCTTCTTCTTTTTCGTCTCTGTTTCAATAATACTATTTGATAGAATGGAATTTTCTCTTTTCACAACTTTACATAACTCTATATATTCATCTAAAATTGTATCATTATTAAGTAGCGATTTGGATGTTTTCTTGCTCTTTTTTATGTTTTCTAGAGACATTATTGACTTCCGAATTATTCAAAAATTTATCAATATTTAATAAAGTACTTTGATATTGCTGTTTCTTTCCGCAATTTACCTAATAGTTTTAGAAGATCACTCCCTACATTTGACTCTCTAATTCATTTTTAATTTTATAGATTCGATTTGCTCTCATGGGACTTATATTTCTTTCGATTTTTTTTCTTCTCTTTCTTAGAAATACCATTGTCTTCTAATATTCTATTAGTGTCAATCTTCGCTGTTCGCACTTTCAAAAATAGCGCTGTTCGCACTTTCAATTGCACTGTCCACATTACCAATATTTATAGTTATGCTTTATTCTGACAATCTATTTATGAATAATCGCATCTCAAAGTGTCGCAGATGAAAAAATGTTTGCTCTTGTAGTGTATTTGAGTCACGCAACATTTTATTTCTTAATCTCCATTGACATTCCTCCGTATATTTTCCGATAATTTCGGAATAGATACGGTATGTATTTTGTGCATTAGCATAATTGCACGATATAGTCCAAGTCCTTCTTATTTATAATATCTGCAGGATAATATTATATATTATATATTTTTTTAAAATTCAAGTAAAATGGGCACAATAATAAGATAAACCAATTGATGTAAAGAAAATACTAGTTACTTTTAAACAAAATTATTACAATTCACACATTTGCTCAACACTTTTTTATTTGATTATGCCGATTAATAATGGATACAGTTTTTTACATGGATACTGAATTGATATTTTTGAATAGCGCGCACTAATTATTCTGAATATGGCGGGGTTCACTTGATTTCTACAATTTGACTACCGCGCTAGTCGACGATACCGGACAAAATTTCTCAGGCTTCTCTCTAGTCTCTGTCGTTACTCAATCCATGATGTAAGAAATCATAACAAATAAATCGTGTATGTGTGATATATTGAGAATATAAGATTGTTGTTTGAGACGAAATCCTTTGTTTTATTACAAGCTGTATTGTACTGTACGTCGTATAAGTAGAAACAGTATGTGAATTTAATTTTTAATATCCAGTTGCCGTCGTGTCTAACTATGAATTCGAAGAAGACTATAACTTTCGGCAAGATAAGCGCCAATTTAGATAAACTGACACCCGAGGCATACATCGAAACCTCTAGCTCCGGATTCGGCACTTTCGGTAAGAAACGCGAGGAAAATAATGTGAAGAAAATGGACGAGATTAGGCCGGAGGATGAAGAGGAAACTCGGAGTATACAGAAGTTGATGGGCATTACGGGCTTCGGTAAGAAAGCCAAGTCTTTCGACGTGCAGGAGATGATGGAGAATATCACCAAGACTATCAACAGCAATAAAGCAAGCACAATCGAACAAGAAAAATCCGATGAAGTTGCGGAATCCAAAAAAGACGAGGTGAACGACGATGATGATTTTATTGGCCCATCAATACCATCTTCGTTGCCTGTTACTTCGGAGGCAACCGAAGATTCAAAGAAGGACGCTTTGGTGAGAATTTTTTGTTCTATCCTTATTTTTCAGAATTTTTATATAAATTTTTTAGAATTTTTGTATAATTTTATAAATTTTTAAAAAAGTTTTGAATTTTTTCAGTACGAGTTGAAATTTCTTATAAGGGGGGAACCAATTTAATTCTCCTTGAAATATATTGTTAAACACACAAATCTAAGAAATGTATAGATTTGTTAAGAAACTTTACATCTCTTTTAGAATTTCTTTATATGTATGAATTTTCAAACATTTTATAATTTCTAAGGTTTTTCATTGTATAGTTAATTTCTGAAGAAAACTTTTAAACTCTGAAAAAGTTTAAGTTGTTTTTTAAAAGTCATGAATTTAAAATATTGACGAATTCTTAAAAATATTACGAGATAACATTTAGAAATTTTTTTCATCTTAGGACGAGAACGAAACCGATGACGATGACGATGACGATAATAAAGAATCATCAGACTCTGAAGAAGAAGAAGAAGTAACATTAGGGAACAAGATTCCTTGTTCACATGAAGTCTCAATGACTCATGGCACTAAAGCGATAATTGCCATCGCTGCGGATCCGTCCGGAGCTCGATTAGCATCTGGATCGGTCGACTATGATGTCTGTTTCTGGGATTTCGCCGGTATGGACACGTCCATGAAGAGTTTTAGGACCTTGCAGCCCTGCGAGAATCATCCCATCAAGTGCTTGCAGTATTCCATGACCGGTGATGTGATATTGGTGATCTCGGGAGCAGCGCAGGCGAAGGTCTTGGATCGGGATGGCTTTGAAAAATGCGAGACCGTTAAGGGTGATCAATATATTACAGACATGGCGCGTACAAAAGGCCATACCGCCAGTCTGAACAGTGGGTGTTGGCATCCGTTCATCAAAGAGGAATATCTGACCTGCTCTCAGGACAGCACCTGCCGAATATGGAATTTATATAGGCCGCGCTCGCACAAGAACCTGGTAAAGTGTAGAGCGCAAAACGGCGTGAAGACCATTCCCACCACGTGCGCCTATAGTCGGGAAGGCGCGGCTGTTGCGTGCGGCTGCATAGACGGCTCAATCCAGATGTGGGATCACAGGAAGAATTTTGTGAATCCGTCCCTCGTGTTGCGAGGCGCCCACGCACAATCCAGCGAGGTGTCGAGCTTGAGTTTCGCGTACCTCGGGCAAATGCTGGCAAGCAGAGCTTGCGACGACACTCTGAAACTATGGGATTTAAGGGCGTTCAAAGCACCAGTATTCGAAGCTAAGGGAGTGTACTCACGTTACGATACCACGGATTGCATGTTCAGTCCGGATGATTCGATGATTGTTACGGGAGAATCTCTGAATAAGGGAAAGACAACCGGCAGGGTGCTGTTCTATGACAGTAAGACGTTCGACCTAGTCAGAGAAATCCCCGTAACAAATTCACACGTAATAAAAACTCTATGGCATCCGAAATTGAATCAGGTGTTCGTCGGCTGCGGCAATGGCATAGTCAAGGCGTATTACGATTCCAAGAAGAGCTTAAGGGGCGCCAAGCTGTGCGTCGTCAAGACACACATGAAACAGAAGCACATCGAGATAATGTCCACTCAGCAGATCATAACGCCTCATGCGCTTCCTCTGTTCCGCCAGGATAGGCCCAAATCAGTTCGCAAGCAGATGGAGAAGGACAGGCTCGATCCAGTGAAATCAAGACGTCCAGATCTGCCTATCACTTCTGGACAGGGTGGTAGAGTAGCATCCTCTGGAGGAACTCTCAGTTCTTATGTCATACGCAATCTTGGATTGAGCAAACGGATAGAGGATGATCAGGATCCCAGAGAAGCTATTCTGAAGTATGCAAAGATAGCTGAGGAGGAACCATACTGGATCGCACCCGCTTACAAGAAGACACAGCCGACAACAATTTTTCAAAGCGACGATCAAGACAGCGGGCCGAGTAATAAGAAACAAAAAACCTAGATTTTTTAATCTTAAAAAACCTAGACATATATTTATCTTGTATATCAGCATTGTGTAATTATATGTGTATCTATGTACAGTACGTATAGCGAATTAATAAAAAAAGAATGTAATTTTGTTGTAAATATTATATAATGTGATTATAGCATTTTTTATTTGTATTCATACTTAGTTATTTAATAGATTTGATTTTATTAATCGTGTATAAATTTATAATTTGTATGATCAAGTGACTCACCTTTTGTATCTGATAAATATTGATTGCATGTATGTTTTCTGTGTTTTTATAAATCAAATGTAGAATACATTTCATTTATAAAAAAATATCTATTATTAGATATCTATTATAATAGATAATATATACATATATTATATATAAAATATATATAAAATTATATTATTACATTTAAATAAAGCTGCTTACAAAGTTGTTTAATTTTTGGAAACTATAAACTATATGTATCTTTTCTTTTCATAAATAAAGAACATATTAAAATAATATGTATATATAATATTTTGAATAAGATTTCGTTCACAATCAGATTTTGGAAAATATTGACTACATGTGTTTTTCTTATAAAGAAAGAATTTGTTTAATATACAGGGTGTTTCCAAATTAAATGGCAAAACTTCGGGAGCGTGTAGAGGAGTAAAAAACTAAGAAAAAAAGTCCTATAGACATATGCTCCTT